TGCCTTGCACGAACAGGCTCCGAAAACCTCTTCCGTGTAGTGTAGCCCACGCGGGGTTGTTTTCAAAGAGAAAGAACCACTCACCAATACCCAGCGCGGCGAACAATATCGGGAATCAAATATCCGGCCGAGCGTGGCAGGGAGGGATGATTGGACTGAGGGTCAGTTGGAATGATGGGGACCTGATTCGCTGATTGGCATGATCTGGACTGATTTGGGAATGAGGGGATGCTTGGGAGATGGGGGAATCTTGATGGGGGGGGGGGGGGGGGACTGAGGATTTGATTGCTGACTGACAATTGAACAGCGATTCGAGACGGGAACGATAGTGTTACGTACGTGCCTTGCACGGAACAGGCTCCGAAACTCCCCCGGGTAGGGTAGCCCACCGGGGGTTGTTATACAAGAGGATAAGAACCACCCACCATACCAGCACGGCGACCAATAACGGGAATCGAATCCTGGCCGAGCGGGCAGGGAGGGACTCATTGGACTGATGGGTCAGATTGGACTGATGGGGACTGATCGGGTTGATTGGCACTGATTGGACTGATGGGGACTGCTTGGGATGATGGGGACTGATGGGGACTGACTGGATTGATTTGGAGTGACTGACACTGAACAACGATTCGAGACGGAGCGATCTTGTGCTACGTGCCTTGCACGAACAGGCTCCGAAAACCTCCTCCGTGTAGGGTAGCCCACGCAGGGGCTGTTTTCCAAGAGAAAGGACCACCCACCAATACCCAGCACGGCGAACAATATCGGGAATCGAATCCTGGCCGAGCGGGCAGGGAGGGACTGATTGGACTGACGGGTCAGATTGGACTGATGGGGACTGATTCGCTTGATTGGCATTGGTTGGGCTGATTGGAATGATGGGGACTGCTTGGGATGATGGGGACTGGCGGGAACTGACTGGATTGATTTGGACTGACTGACGCTGAACAGCGATTCGAGACGGAGCGATCTTGCACTACGTGCCTTGCACGAACAGGCTCCGAAAACCTCCTCCGTGTAGGGTAGCCCACGCGGGGTTGTTTCCCAAGAGAAAGAACCACTCACCAATACCCAGCACGGCGAACAATATGGGGATTCGAATCCTGGCCGAGCGGGCAGGGAGGGACTGATTGGACTGATGGGTCAGATTGGACTGATGGGGACTGATTCGGTTGATTGGCAGTTAATTGGACTCATTGGGAAGATGGGGGCTGATTGGGGTGATGGGGACTGATGGGGACTGACTGGGTTGATGTGGACTGACTGAACATGAGCAGCGACCTGAGACGGAGCGATCTTGTACTACGCGCCTTGTACGGACAGGCTCGGGAAACCTCCCCCGTGTGTGGTAGCCCACGCGAGGTTCTTTTCCAGGAAAGACAACCACCCACCAACAACCAACACGGCGAACAATAACGGGAATCCAATCCACTACTGCTCACTACGGCCACTACTGGTTCTACTACTACTACTACTACTACTACTACTACTACTACTACGACGAGGACGACTACTACTACTACTACTACTACTAATACTACTACTACTACCTCTACTACTACTACTACTACTACTACTACTACTACTACTACTACTACTACTACTACTTACTACTACTACTACTATTACTACTACTACTACTACTACTACTTACTACTACAACTACTACTACTACTACTACTACTACTACTACTACTACTACTACTACTACTACTACTACTACTACTAACTACTACTACTACTACTACTACTACTACTACTACTACTACTACTACTTACTACTACTACTACTACACTACTACTACTACTACTACTACTACTACTACTACTTACTACTACTACTACTACTACTACTACTACTACTACTACTACTACTACTACTTACTACTTACTACTACTACTACTACTACTACTACTACTACTACTACTACCACCACTACTGCGACTACGATCACTACTACTCGTACTACTACTACTACTTGCGAGAGTGTCCTCAGTCCTCGTAGCTTGCGGGAGGTCCTCAGTGGGGGGAGGGAGAGGGAGCGAGGGGGGAGGACGGGGGGAGGGAGGGGGGAGGACGAGGGGGCGCGGAGTTTTATTCCCCGGAGAGAGAACCAGGGGGGGGGGGCCCTTTTCTAAAAACCCTACTGGGTGAATTCTCGACCCCACCCTTTCGCACGGACTCCAGAGGGGCGACGCTACTTGGAAGCTGGGCGAAGGCTGGCAAATCCGTGGCTGCGAAAACGGTCTTCCCGGGAGAGAAAGGACAAAAACTACCGGAATCAAGCTCAGAGCTCTAGACAATAATAGTAAACGGGCTGCTTCCGGGAAGAAAGACAAACAATTTCCTGGAACTCCGTTTTAGCAACCACGGGTTTGCCAGCCTTCGCCCGGCTTCTGAACTACAGTCAACCCGTACAAGGACACGCGGTAAGAATGCAAGGGCCTTGGAGGCCCGTGTCATCGTTTTTCGAACGAGGCTGGCCCGCGAAAGTCGCTGAGGGTGGACCGAGGGGGCAAGGATGCAAGGGTACCCTCGGGAGGGTTGCCCCCATCCTCACTGTGCGGGTGGACTGTGCGCACGGGGGGAAGCCGGCGCCCCACGAACACACACGCCAGGCAGTGGCTGCCGCCTACCCGCACGTGGCCCCCGCCATTTCTCCGCCGTTGCTGCGGTGTGCGGCAGGGGCGGCCCTGGCAGCGGCGCTGCGGCCTGACGATCGCGCCGGTCTGCGGCGCTGCCCAGCGCGCCAGGTGCCGGGCGGGCTCTTGCGCACGGCCTCGGCGACTGCCGCTGGGCAGCGGGTCGGCACGTAATTGCGGCGGCTGTCCCGAGGGGAGGCCCGCCGTTGCCCGGCAACGGCGCCCAAGACCCTCGAGCCGGGACGGTGGGGCGGCGGCTGGGAGAGGGTGAGGGAGGAGGGGGAGGGCGAGGGAGGAGGGGGGAGTGAGGATGATGGGGGCAGCAGGGGATGATGAGGGATGATACTGATGAGGAGGACAAGGAGGACGAGGGTGAGAAGGGGTAGTGAAGCTCATCCTGCATTCCCCGTGTCCCGGGCAGCCTCGTTGTGAAAATCGTGTCCGCCCCGACGAGCAACAAGCACAGCAACACTGAGGTGAGGATGGCCTCGCAGTAAGCGGGGCGGGCGATGGGATGGTAAGAGAACGAGACAGTGAAGGTAGTTAGGCTGATGGTGTATCTGAGGTGTGCCCCTCGAGGCGATGAATGCGCACGTGCCCTTGATACAAGTGTGTTGCATGCCAGACCTAGGCATCCGACGACTCGACGTTTGTCGAGTCGCGGACCCCTGGACCTTCCCACCCACTCCATGGGCCACATTTTCCGTTCTGAAACGTTGAGGGGGCCCAAGGACACACAAATAAATTACACCAGAAATCAGTGGATGGTTCCCAGACGTGATTGCATCGTAAAGAATCAGGACGGCGGGTTTTCGGCCGGTTTCGGCCTCGTGGGGCCGTCGCCGGGCCTCGGGACCGTCCAAGAACGACTCAGGATGAAAAACCGGTCCCGGAGAAAGGGTCGGGACTTCTGGGGACGCCGTCCTGAAAAAAATCAAGACGTCGCATGTCTGGGTTTTCGCTGAGATCGACCGGGAACCCGGGAGCCCGGGAACCAAAAACCCAACACCGAAATCGGCCCGGAACCAACCATCGGGAACCCGGGAACCCGGAACCGGGAACCCGGGAACCCGCATGCCACCAAAATCGGCGGGGAACTTTCGCCAAATCTCTCAACTTCTGCTAGGACCCCTTCAGTGCAGGCACTGACTGGGGAATATACAAGCGTCCCAGGATCCCACATACGTCTACACATTTTTAGGATCTTCGTCTTCCCCCCCCCCCACCACTTCCCATACGTTCCATATTTTCAGCGGAATCGACGAGCAATTACGTTTCTGTGTGTGTGTGTGTGCGTGTGCTTTCCCCTCCTGAACAGATGCTGACAGTCCTCGGCCTGGAGAGCGGCATCTCTGAAGGGGAACTGGGACACACCAATAAATACACACAAAATAAAAAAATATTCCCCATATTTTCCCATATTTTCTGGGCTTCTGTCTCCCCGCCCAATTCCCATATTTTCCCCTATCTTTTCTTGGGGACCGACGATTGATTGTGTCTGTGTTTTTTTCCCTCCTGCATCTCAGGCTGCCCGACGGCCCCCCCGGGGCCGCAGGCGGCCCTCGAGAGCCCCGGCGCGACTTTCTTCCGCGAGGCCGTCGGCAAGGTTTGGGCCAGGGGAGGCGAGGCCCACGCGGGGGAGGCGAGGCCCTCGAGTGGTGGGGGGGGGCCAAGAGTCCCCAGATGGTCTGGTACCGGAAACTTTCGGTAGCGATATCGACGCACCCCGAATTTCGGTAGCGACCGGATCTTCGTTTGAGGGCGTTGAAAAAGCGGGTTTCAGAACGGTCTGATACCGGTATTGGGCGCTACATTTCGGTATTTCGGTAGCGACCGATCTCTGCGGAGCGCTACCGGAAATTTTCGGTAGCGGACCATCAGGGTCCCCCCAATTCGGGGAGACGTAAGACCCGGGAACGGGGGACTCGGAAATCCCCGACGAGGTCGTCAAAAAAAATGACGAGGCCGAGCCTGCATTTTGACGAGGCCTCCCGCTGCAGACATCCCACAAAACTCCTCCTCGTCAAAATCCGAGTCGCGGTCGTCAAAAAACGATGGCGAACCCGAGTCCTGGCAAACCCGGGTCTTACGCTCCCCCGACCAATGCGTGCGTCGTCTCACCCCCCCTGTTCCCCCACATCCGACGTCTCGATGTTTCCGAGACGCGGGCCCCGACCTCCCGACCGCTTCCCCGGGACCGGCTTCTCGCCCCGAGTCGTTTTTTGCCGGTCCTGAGGCCCGGCGAGGGCCGCTAGAGATCGAAAGTCGAGAAAAACCTCCGTCTTGATTTTGTCAATGCGTTGGATCTCTGGGTTGGCTTCCACCTGCAACCATCTACGCGGAGACTCCCGTGGGCG